AGTCCGTATCCCTAATTGCCCTATGCAGGCCAAGGTTCCAACCAAAGCCTGAAGTGGAAGCTGAAGGGATTAAGAAAGAAGAAATGGGTTCATTTTTCAAGTCTGAAAGAGCATACAAGGAAGGAAACTTGTCTTTCAGAGGAGAATCCCCGACCCAAAGATGTTCCYAGAAATTTATTCGGTTACTAGAGTTTAGACCATACCTATCCAAGGGGAGAAAACTGGAAGCAGATTGTGGATGGATTTCCAAGGGGAAGCAGCTGAAGCCCTTGCCAAGATTCCTGGATCCCAGCCATTGTCTTCCAGCCCATGAATGCTAGCCACAATCTTAKTCCACAATTTATCCCTTTCCAAAGAGAACCTCCACAACCACTTCCCCAGAAGAGCCATGTTCCTTTTCTTGAAATTACCAATCCCAAAACCTCCTAGTGTTTTACACCTAGAGACTACCTCCCAACTCACCCTATGATATCTCTTCTCCTCTCTAGGCTCCCAGAGAAAGTTCCTTAATAATTTTTCCAAAAGATTTGAAACCTTTGAGGGGATCTTAAACACTGACAGAAAGTAAACADGAAKGTTAGCTAGGGTAGATCTAATGAGAGAGACTCTTCCACCTAAAGAAAGATAACTCCTCTTCCAGGCCGCTAGCCTCTTCTCAAACCTCTCTACTACCGGAGCCCAAAAGCTAACACTCTTACGATTATCTCTTAAAGGGAGGCCCAAATAAGTCAGGGGCCAATCCGTAATAGCACAACCTAGCTCATCTGTAGATTCCCTTAGGTCTCTTTCGTTCACATTCACTCCCGCCACACAACTCTTGTCAAAGGTTACCTTGAGGTTAGATATCTGCTCAAAAAGTTATATTGTCAACTTTAGATTCCGGATCCAACCGAGGTTCCTTCCTTCACAAAAAATGATAGTATCATCTGCAAACTGTAGAAGAGTTAAGGGAACCTCCTCCCTTCCTACTCTCCACCCTCTTATTAGATTTCTCGAGTCTGCTCTATGGATCAATCGCCCAAACACATCAACAATAAGGATGAAAAGAAAAGGGGAAAGAGGATCTCCTTGTCTTAGACCTCTCAACGCCGGAAAGAAGTCAACCACAGTCTCGTTCACCAGGATAAAATAATGCAAGTCCTAACACAGCTCCAGATCCACTTGCACCACCTGTCACCAAAACCAAAACTCCTCAACACCTCCATTAAGAAAGACCAATCAACCAAGTCGAAAGCCTTCTCCAAATCCAATTTGCAAATCACTCCCTTCTTTGACTTTCTAAAGCTCTCTAAGCTCTCATTTGCAATGAGGATCTGATCGGTGATCTSTCTTCCTTCCACAAAAGCACTTTGGTTGGGTGCAATAATAGAACGAAGCACCTTCTTTATCCTGAGAGACAACACCTTTGCAATGATTTTGTACAAGCTAGTCACCAGACTAGTAGGTCTAAAATCTTTTGGTTGAGAAGCATCTTTTTTCTTTGGGACTAAAGCAATGAAAGTTGAGTTCAAGCCCAGGTTTATTACACCCCTCCTGTGGAACTCCTCAAAAACCGATGTAAGATCATTCTCCAAAATATCCCAGTAATCCCGGTAAAAGGCATTGTGAACCCATCTGGACCCGGAGCTTTTGTCCTATCCATAGAGAATACTGTTTCCTTTACCTCCTCCATATTGAACATTTTTTCTAGCCACTCTCTCTTCTCTACACTCTCTCATTCAAAGGCCTTCTAAAAATAGATTTGAAGTGGTTTACTAGGGCCTCTGCAATTTCAGCCAGGTGAGACAAAACTACTCCATCAACTTCCAAGTTAGAGATGTAATTATTCTTTCCCCTTCCATTTGCCACTGAATGGAAAAACCTTGTGTTTCTGTCTCCCTCCTTTAGCCACTTACACCTAGATTTTTGCCTCCAACTGATTTCCTCCTTAATCAGGATGTCCTCCATCTGCCTCCTTAAAACCCATCT